AACGTCAGGCGAATAAACGTATTGTCCCAGCGATCGAGTCTTCTTCTTCTCATCCAGATTTATGCTGGTCACGTTAGAGTGTCAGGCCTGGAAGCTTTGACTTCTGTCTACGACCTACCATTAAATGCTAATCTCTGCTAAACTAGGTTACATCTCACTGTCTTGTCACCTCCTCCCCCGTACATAGCGAACAACAACAAAAACGCCTAACACCTCCAATATTGGCACTCTCACCTTCTGATCCTAGCCCGCATCGTCGACCACTAACTCCACCATCTGCACTCGCACTGAATCGTCATCCTTTCCCCTTCCTACACAGGGAGCCGTGTCAGTTCTCGTCCGCCTCCCCTGCCCTAAATTCTACGGTAATTATGCTTCCACCTTCCCACCCCCTCACACGTTGGTCGCCTGTCTGTCCGTATCTGCCCGGTCGTGCCAAATGACCCACTCTGAATATTTAACTTTCGCGTATGCGAATTTAGGCTGACGATGAGTTGGTGTCATTATCCTTAAATTTTGCAAGTACAACTCGATTTTCCGAAGGCCTTCTTTCTTTTAATAATTGAAAATTTCTATTGACTACGTAATACAAACCTCCGCCAAAAGTGTCCCATGCATGAAATCAACTGGATAAACCAACTAAAGCCGCATATACCAGAAATAAAAAGGCACACTAGCTGCAGAAATCCGTTAAAGTCATAGCATAATATGGCGAGGGATTGCTCAATCCACGCCTTTAATTCCCTCCCTGCATTGAGGTATTTTGAACCACTCCACCCGATAGTCGTCCGGCTCCGAGAATGTGACCTCTCTTAAGAAGAACATAAACAAAAGGGCGCAGATCCTCCCGAATTACTCTTCGACTTAAAAGAACTATCGCAAAATTTCTCTGTGTAGAGCAATATCACAAACTTTTGGGCACGGATTTGAATGAAGTTAACTGCTGTAGTGATTAAATCTGTGGCTTTAAAGTTCCTTCTATCAATAGAAGCCTACATGTGAGTCCCAGAAAGTAATGGAGAAGAAACAGATGTGATCGCTGAGACAATAGTTTTATACGCCTGACGTTTCGAAATTCGTCGCGGATCCATCATCAGAGACTATGAAGACCCGTTTCTGCTATTGCCACTGACGCTGGATCCGCGGCGGATTTCGAAACGTCAGGCATGAAAAACTCTTGTCTCAGTGACCACATCCGCTTCTTCTTCTTCTTCTTCTTCTTCTTCTTCTTCTTCTTCTTCTTCTTCTTCGATCCTTCCTTCCTTCCTTCCTTCCTTCCTTACTTCCTTTCTTCCCTCTCTTGCACTCAAAGGGAACTCGGAGGCCTCGCAGATGGCCTCATTGATCCGTAGCTAGCTGCAGCTCATCCATTCACCTCCTGGCAAATAGAAATTTGAAAACAAAAGTCGGGCGCTACGATGGCAGTCGTCCGTCTGACATGGCGTCTGGCCAATGACAACAGTCCCAACAAACTCCAGACTTATTCGGACATTGTAGTACACCATGTGCGCATACACATCCGCCAACAACACGTACTCGAGGTCACGTGATCAGAGTTATCGAGCAGCCTAACCACATACGCATACAACCCCTGGCACATCCAATCACAGGCGCCTACCCAAGAACCCAATCAGGCGGACGTTGACAAACTCTAACATTTCACGTCCACAGAACCTGGTGGGCAGATGCTCGCGCAGGCTCAGAGTGCCTGCTACGCGTCGAGGCCTCTGGCCATCACTGTATACAATATACGACTTCTACTCACGTCCTTTCCTTTCTCCTCTATAACACAACGAGGTCTGATGATTGTTGTGCTCTGAGAACAAGCACTGCTTAAACCCTACAACATGCTTCCGCTCAACATACCGGAAACCCAGACCGTCTCTGGCTGCTGCTATGCCGACAGTTATCAGCGTCGACAACAGAAGGTTCCCCAAATCACAAGTGAGGGAGGACGGTGTAAATTGGAACAGCTTTACTGCGGGAAAAAGAACTGTACAAAAGCTGCGTCACGCCCCATTTGCCAGCTATGTCTGCACGTCAGGTGTGTCTGTGATTGTCAATAGAGGTGAATATGCGAGTTCCAGGAAGTAGTTCAGAAGAAGGAGATGCGACCACTGGAACAAGAGTTTTATTGTCCTGAC